CCCCCCGAATCAAAAATTCCTGGATCCACCCCTGAAACGGATACCCTTTCATTGTTGATAGCGATGTTGACGTGTCTAGGTAACATAGGGTCATTGAATCAGCCTTCTTTTAATTGGTTTTGTGACAGGATGAAAAGAAACTGGTTCGATATCGAGACAATCAAGTCGTTAGCACTAAGGGTGAGCGTTTTTCTTTGGTGAAGCAAGAGGAATCTGAGGAAATGAAGAAGACATATGTGAACATCAAACCGGCACGGAAATATCGATTCCACTGATTTTTCATTCTCTACACCGAACTTGGGTGATCTGAACCCGAGCAGAAGACCTGCAAGCCTTTTACACATATGTGATGACAGGAAACTTGCACGGTGCGGACAGGCGAACTCAACTGCAGTCTTCTCGACACGGATTTGACGTCAAGTTCAACTTCTAAAGTTTTGAACGTCGCAAAATTGAAAGCGATCTGGGACAGAGCGAAGGACGATCGAGCCTTAATCGTGATTAAGTGATATAGAGATGAAAAGGATTGCTTTTGAGGGCAACTAATAGATAATAAATCACCTGACTTAATGAACCTGGGCCATTACAGGTTTTGTAATCTTCTGCTTTCTCCTTCGCAAAGATGAAATACAATTTTAATTTTGTTTACCTAAAGAAATCGCCGTAAGCGACATTAGTCGCGGTAAATTTGGTCATAGCTCGATGTGAATCTCTCTTTATTTACATTTGCTATTTTTAATCGTTTTATTTAAACTTTATCACTTTCCGTATTTGTTCCTTGTAACGTGGCGTAACACAGTTCACAACTTCTTTTTCACTCTGCGTGGGTTTCAAGATTGTCTCGATTTTCAATGCGTGCAATTGGTTTTTCTTTTTTGATGGTAAAGCTCTTGTCAATTTTTGACAATGTTATATTTGCTTTTGTGGTGAAATCCTAATGTATACAGCTGCACCTTCTAAACAGATTCTACGTCGTTACGTTGGCATTTGTCATTTACAAGCAATAATACGAATTTTAATACATTTTTAACAGTATAAGATTTTATTTCCTCTTGTTTATACGGCCAGTACAATTAAAATCTGAATTGCGTGGCAAGCTTTCTATCTTGTGCATATACTGTAGCCTTTGATAGCAACTGGAAAGGATAGTTTGAAAGGAAGTTTTGACTATTTCGTTAAGTGTATATTCATCTTGGTGAAAGACAGCCATCTTAATTAATACCCACCACATTTCAAAATCTTAGTTTAAAAGCGTACTTAAGCTGTATTTTAATATTTCGCTGATATTTTAAATGCGTCGTCCTGGCATCTGCCTTTTTATTTTTGAGATGAAGGTCAGTAAATTGTATTAAGTAAAACTTAATCATCATCTGTTTTGATATGAGTGTAAGAGGAACTGAAATCTTTTTTTTTTAATCTTTTTTTTTTCCCTAATTCAAAAATCGAGACTTCGTTTCATTAACCTTTCCAGCTGTTCTTTGTTTTACAATTCGGTAAATAAACGAGTCACCCTTGCATTATTATTATTGTTTTTTTTGTTGTTGAGTTTTTTTAAGGCTTTCCTCCATGCGTTAACCAAAGCTCAGTTAAATATTTATTTGCGCCACTGACTGCAATTTTAATGTGGTAGGAGTTGTTATAGCGCTTGGGACAGGAAATTCACTCGCGTTATTCCGAGAAAGATGCTGTTCCCTCCGCGAACGCTGTGGCCCTTTGTTCAAATGAAGAAGTTTTCTAAATACAGACTTAAAGTCTGGCTTCATAAATGAGTACAGTAAAGGATTTACAATAGAGCCAAAGGCTAGCGTGAATGGCGATAGTAAGGCAACGTACTTGGGTAATAGATGTGGCTTCCCAAGTGCGAAAACCAAAGTAGTCCATATAATTGGCAACCAGCTCAAAACAAACATTACGGCTATCACAATGAACACTTTGGCGACCTTTGCTTCCGAAGACACCCTTCGTGCTCTTAAATCTGTTCTGGGACATGCCTTGATAGAATGGACCAGTTTCCTCTCTCTCGTCACAATTTTACGAACTTGACGGGAAATTCGCACATACCTAACAAAGATGCAGACATAAGGTATCGCAATTCCCAGAAGAAGAATACAAATCTGATATATCCTCAGAGCTAAACCTGCTTCATCGCTGTCAGTCCAAGAGAGAGGAAGAACTGCGCAGACCACAGCCATAATCCAACAAAATGCCACGATTGGGAAAAAAGACTTGACGATAGTGCTCGCGTAATTGAAGGGCCTCATACAAGCGAGGTACCGGTCGAAAGTTACGGCGCTCAAATTTGCCACACTCCCAACTAAAGCTGTCGTGTATAAGATATTAAGGGTCACTGCTTCTTTTACGGATAGAGCATACTGAAGGAAAAGTGTGACACCGACTAAGATATCAGATACCGCCAATGAAACGATAAATCCATTTGTGTATGTCCTTAAATTTTTGTTGATACACACCAGAAAGCAAACTACACCATTGGTGAACATGACAAGGACTGCCAAAATGCTTAATGGTATCTCGACCTCTGCAGAGACCATTTCTAAGGGCTACCCACAAAGACCTTCGCAAATTCAAATTCAAGACTTGATTACTTCTAACAGGTTAATCCACAACTGTTTTATGCAAATACTTATCACCTGAAAAGGAGATAACAGTTACATCGGCTGGACTTTGTACATGAAAACAAGAAACCGTCGTGATCAGGGAAGACAAGGAATAGAATTCAACCGACTCACTAGCTCTTCTCGCCGGCAAGAGTTGCATCAAGTTTTCGCCTTTTCCTAATCACCAGCGGCAAAAAGAGGAGTTATTTTGAAAGAGCTTTATCCAATATTGTAGACAAGTTCCCCTTGGCGCGCTGCGCGCGTAAGTCTTACGGTAACCAATGAAAAACGATTTTCTTTGAAATATATGCAAGGGCTTTAGGTAGGATTAACTTTAATGGAGAGTTAAAGTTCGCAGTTCCCTTGTTAATTCTTTTTTTTCTTATGTAAGATTTTGATTGTTCCAAAGTAGCAAATAGAATTTATAAATTAGTTTAAAAGAATTAAATATGTAAAAACAAGGTGTTCAAAAGATTTAAGAATAATGCTGCTATCTGGTGAGAGAAGGAAATATGACTTGTTATCTACGTCGAGGTTTTCAGAACCATGAAATCTCGTCAATCTTTTTATTTTTATTGAAATAAGCATCCTCAAAGTCAAGGACAAGGTAGAGAGATGGATGAATTGCGATTGAAGAGTATTTTACAGCTGTCTTTTTATTCATTTGGTTAGTGCAAACATCTTACAGTTACAAGAGGACAAAAAAGAGACGTGCAAGACACGCTTTCACGTCCGTGTTTTTATGTCGCGTTTAAGACAATGAAAAGTTATATTTGCTCCAGTTTCGTAGATTTTCTGATACGATAACGTAATTACTTTTATCAAGCGAGCTATAAAAAGCTTGCACTTCGAAATGTAATAAATTTTGATGTCTCTCAGACCGGTAGATTAGCGGGGTTCGTGGCCTGGGACCGAATGATAAAGCATAATTTCAAGAACTTTCTCTTATCTTATCGGCCTTTGTTTTCGTTGAAAATGTGCTTACTTCCTAAATGACTCTCGTGTAATCCCTGCAAGATAGTGTTTCAATGTCTCGAAGGTGTTGGCACTATTAGTTAAGTTCACCGAATGATTACAACAGGGATTTCTTCCAAGCAAACGTAACACCTTTAGTTTCTTTGATCACATTCTCTGTCGGAAGTCAGTAAATTAAGTTAAGTCACTTAGAAATAAATGAAATCTTAATGCAGTTCGTATACGGTAGAATGAAATGAATAGCAGAACTCTACTTTGTTCAGAAACGCTTTATGATGGGCTTATCGGGTGAATTTTCTTTCTTTTATTTCCAAATTTCCCGAAGGCTCTGTCAGGTGTTCCTCTGTCTGGTTCTCGAGTGGTCTTTGGTCGCCAGAAAGAGCGAATAAAGCCAGCTTTTTTGGGTTCATTTTTATCAAAATTATTTTGGTTTGTATTGTCGCGTCATCCTCAACATGTTTTCATATCTCATATTAAAGCCCGCTAGTAGAGAGCCAAACACATTCCCAGAAGAATTGAAATGTTAATATTGTGAGTATTTTTTTTATCGTAATGATTGCTTTGTTTTGTTATAATCCTTGCCCGCCAGTGGTCGGTGATTTCTCTTCACTTTTATCTGAGAAAGTGTTTTAAACTAATCATTTTAGACTTCAATATTTGTCAAGCAAACATCCAACTAAAAGCCTCAATAAGACGTTTTTCAGCATCTGTTCAAGCAAAATGGCCCCACGCATGTGGAGTAAATGAATACAATATTGTCGGAATAGTTATTATCCTGTTCATTAAAATGCGAATCTTTGGATCATGATAAAGTTAAGTCTGGAGGCCGCATAAGTTCTCAATTATAGCCATTAGTATAGGTAGTCGCATGGGGCCGAGTAAAATTAAGGATTAATATCACTTGTGTTTTCGGAAGTTGCTGAAATTGCCCGAGTCGCGCAAGTGCAAGGTTCGAATTAGCGAGGATTCGCGTTATCCGGAGTCCACTGTATGTTCAAATTTTCTCCCCCCTACCCTGGGGCGTATCCAATTGAACTCATCAAGCCTTGATTACCAGATTAAAATTTTGCGAGCTGAATAAAACTCTAGTGGCATGGCGCGGTCTGA